AGAGATATCAGCTTCAACGGAATTGAAAATATAGTTCAAAAAAAGGAATTGTAGAAGTAAGCCAAATGCAGGTATTTTTAATGTAAATGCTTGTTCACCCATCTTTAGCACTTTTTGAAGCTCAAAACATTGATAGCAGGGTATACAATGGATCAACAGTGAATACAATCAACACAATCAGAACAAAACATCAATAAAGCTTTGAAAATAAAATAAGAAATAAAGCTATAATAGCTTATTTGAAGATAATATAAATTATCAAGATATAGATAAAGACTTATATTGTACCATAAAGGTAGAAGAGCTATAGAAAAGTGAAGCCCTACTTATAGGAAATAGAACACACTAGTATACTGTGCCTGAGGCACGAAGGCAACTACAGATCATGTAGTTAGCGCCGTGACAAAAAGAAAAGAAAAAAAAAAGTAAAACCCTTTTCAAAATCTATTATATAAATTATATATAATAGTGAATAATATACCCCAGTATTTGTTTTCACTTCCCCCAATATTTTATTTCTATTGTGTATTTCAAAAGTTACTTGCTAGTGCTCTTAGGGCCTAGCCGTCTTATATAGTCCATGGACTGAAGCGGGACGTTAAATTAAATCAATCAATCAATCAACAGAATATAATACAGACATTTAGAAGCCTACTAATAATAGTGAGAATCATATCTCCCGTATTCCTGATTTTATTATTAAATGTCACGAGAGAATTAGCCTATATAAACCCAATTAGCTTAATGCTATCGGTGATATCACTTTTAGCGTGATAGTTATGAGCCCGGTATGCGTTTATAGCGCAGTGGCATAATTCTTCACTTTACTGTGCTCTCTTGTAGTGGTTTTCTGTGGGCCCACTTATAAGAGGGTATTTCAACAGATCCACATTAGTCATTTGATCTTGGTCTATGGGAGCTAATGTAAGGACTCTACTCTGTTGCCCCACTATCTCCACTCAGCCTATTAGATATATCCAGAGAGAATCTAATACTAGTTGTATCTAATTAAAAGAGAATCTAGATTTGGCATCACATAAAGATAGAAAGAGATTTGCGCATTTATAACTCAATAAGACTAGTACAGAGATTACTGCCTATACTTAGCTAGTCAGCAATCTCGGGGGTGTGTCACGAGAGAATTAGCCTATATAAACCCAATTAGCTTAATGCTATCGGTGATATCACTTTTAGCGTGATATTAAATTAATACTAATTAATAATATCACAAATTACTTAAACTTACTTATTCGAAATACCTTTTCACTTTTACTTCTTTTATTTCCCGTTATCAGCATTATAACATCCCGGGCAAGCACTAGTACTAGCTCTAAGCAAGCTGGCAAGAAATCCGATACTGATAAGAAATCTGTTCTATCTGATCAATCCACTGGCATAGAAGGATTTATTCGACACAACAACTGACGACACCGATTCTCTGCAATAAAAGTTCAAGATTTCTTTCTATAAAGATATAATTACTAAAAAAAGAAAAACTCAGGAAACTACTAAGGATTTGAAGTTTATCGTACAGGACAATAGCATATCACAATGGAGGGGAATGACTGGACATAATGGTATAAGTTATAAGAATGTGTATATCTCCTTATCTACAGTTAGAACTGATCTCTTCTCGTAGAGAGAGATCGGATTATATACTGGGTGATCTTCGGGTACCGATCACGGGAGCGGTGATCGATCCTGTGGCCGATCCGGTTATCATTATTCCGCTCCGGAGTATTTTATATAATGGAATACCTGACCATCACATGATCTGATCACGTGGTCTACAACACCGTTTCCGTCACAAAGTTCAAAGAAGAATCTCAAAACTATTCCTTTCCAAAAGATCTTAATAAAGCTAGATAATTCTATAAAGGATATACATTCAAAATAGAAACAGAAATATTAGATTGATGGATACTTCTTTTTCGAATAGCTGTATATTCGAATATAGGGATTACTGATGTATTTCTTCAGAATACAATTATATTCGATTTTCGAGTTTATTTGATAAGTTCTATTTAGGAATATTGATAAGTTGATATTATATGATTTTTGCAAGGTCTTGTGATATTATGGAGTTTATATCAATATGAATGTAAATCTCGATGATGCTTTGATAGAAGTATTTTTCTATAACGCGTATTACGATTGGATTGTGGAATAGTTTTTGGAATATTAGATTAATGAGATATAACTATTCGTATTCACAAAATGAATCTATCTTTTTGTTAAACTTAATTCGAGACTATAACTGAATCTTTTATTGACCTCAGAATAGTAATCCAGCTGATTATCTACTTTGCCAAACCTAATAAATTATAACTAATTCGATTATTCCTTTTAATATATATAGAGAACCAGCTCTATTCCAATTTGGGGATATACGAGTTCTATGTATATCTTTACTAGTACCAAAATCAGGCTTTAGAATTCCATTAGTTGATATTCCTATAGGATCATCTAGTAATAGTGATAATTCGGATGATGATAATGATTAGGGCGGCGGTTAAGATGATAATAATAGTAGAAGTGGTGATAATGGTGGTAGAGGGTAGTAATAGAGATAATAGGGATAGGGATTATGATATTGATTTCGAAGTAACTTTGCCAAATTCCGGTAAAGTTATATCATCTCCTTTAGAAATAGCAATTATGTATACAACAAATCCAGAGAAACCTTTCTTGAATTTATCCAAGAATAACCAAATACCTATACCAATATTTTTTTGTAAATAGTTATACCTCAGATTCAAGCTTATATATAAGATTATTATTCCGATGTTTTATTGCTGATTTCAAAAATCCTATTATATATAAGAATCTAGAAAAAAAAGAGATTAATAATCGATATTATGGTATTATATCAATCTTATAAGCGAAGGGAGATTGTTGAAATGATCTAGATTGATGATCCGATTAATCCGATTGATATGATAACAAAAGGAAAGCTATATTAAGCTTTTGCTGATCTAATTAATACAAATAAGATTGATATTAAGATAATAAAGTAGATGGAATGGGATTAAAGGAAAGGATTGGTTTTGTTAGTAAAAGGTCAGGGATTTTAGTTAGCAGATAAAGGATTTTTTATGATTTTACAAATTTCTTTTAGCCATTATATTTGAAATTATAAAAAGAGTTTTGAGTATGTAAATAAGGAATTTACTTCAAAAGAATGACTTCAATATAATAGCTTACTGTATCAAAGGTATTTAGATAAATATGAAGGAGACTAGCTTTTTCAGTAGTGTCTATATAAGGCCTACTATTTCCCCTCATTAGCTAGCTCTTTAGACAGAATACAATACAGACATTTAGGGGCCTACTAATGATAGTGGGAACCACGTCTCCCGTATTCCTGATCTCATTATTGAACTAACAGGTATAATCTATATTCTTTATTTGTATACTCTTTGTTTATATATTCTTTATTCTATATTTCTTTATTTGCTTATTCTATTTATATTTAATCTTATTTAAATTATCTATACGAGTAATCCATTTTAAATTTCTATATCAATAATGGATAAGCAAAACTCAAAAAAATATTATTCTTTTATCAACAGATTATTATATTATATTGCTATTGTTGTATTAAATCCTATACAAAAATAATTATATTTCGAAGAATCTTGAAAGGAATCTTATTCATTATAGATCTAAAGATGGAAGAATAATATTGAGAGATTTTAGAAAGATTAATATAAGCTAGATTTCGAAGATTCATTTTAATTAATATTCAAAGAAATCTTTTTTAATACATTAATTACACATCTACAAATTAAAAAGATATCTTATTATACAATAAATAAATATACAAAATATCTTATTATTCTTTCTTTTGAATATATTCAATATTTTTGTAAATAGTGACTTGATTTTATATAATAACAAGTATATCCTAATTTAAGTAAAATGATATTTGATTTACTTAGTATTTCTAATATATCTACTCCTATCGAATACTTATTTTCTTTAATAAAAATTATTATTATTGTAAAACAAAATAAGCTTTAAATTGCAATTATTGAAAAAATAAAATACTTAAAATTATAATTAGATTTAGATTTGTAAATGAAAGATAATATAGAATTCGAGAATTTGAATAGATAAAAGATAGAATTTTTTTTTTTGAATAACATTTTTTCATTATTTAAGTTTTATTGAGATTAATTTTGATTTTTAATATTATCTTTTATATATTTTTAGATTTTTATGTTTCAGTCTTCCCGTATATCTTTGTAGATATCAGTTTTGAGTAATACCTATAATAGTGAGTTTTCAACTGTCTAATACGCACTAATTACTGTATTAAAAGCTTCATACGCGCCACCGTTTTACTGTAGTATACTATTGCCTACACTGTGGTATATTAAATCGAGTCTTCAGAACTCAGAATTTATGTTCACATGTGTAATCTCAACCTACCTATGGAGAGCAATCTGGTGTTGGGTATGGAAGGGAGAGGGGAAGTTCTCTGCTATTGTGTTAGTATTGATTCGAGTGCAAACTGCTATCATTGAACTTGATCTGATTTTAATTATTTCCAAAATTTCATAAACAAAATTTCTCTCCTTCCCTTCCCTTCCCTTCCCTCCTTCATCCATCATCCATCACCCCTCCAATCCCTCCACATAATCCCTAACCGCCTGTTCAAACCCTCTATCCTCCCTAAACCCCAACCCAAACGCAAACGAATTATCATACCTCACCCCCCAGCTCCTCAAAATCCTCACCGTCGCCTCCTCCTCCTCCTCCCTAATCAAACCCCAATTTCTCCTCTCCCCCCAGCCTTCACCAAACGCCATCTACATCTCCTGCACACTCGCTCCTTTCCCGGGTAAGATAACCGCTCCTATGATGTCCATCCACCCCCTGCAAATCCATCCCATCGCATGAATCAAATTCTCCGTCAACGTCCTCGGACTACACATCAGCTCACAAACCCACGGTCCTTAATCGGCACCACGCACTTCCTTCCCCGCATCGGCTCTCTAATCATCCCGCTCAGAAACGAACTCGCCCGCCTGCGTCGGTTTTCCCGGGCCTGATACGATCGTCGGAAACGCAATGCCAAACCATCGATAATCCCCTGCGATGTAGTCCTGCAGGAGAGTCTCACATGCTAGTTTCTGACAGCCGTAAGAACCCTCGGGAGTGGGATGCGTCTCTCTTGTGATTATTTCCGGGAGCGGTCTCCCGTATACCGCGAGCGAAGACGCGTAGATGACACGAACTAATTTGCCCTCGGGCTTCAAAGATGGAGTATTTCTGATTCCTTCAAGAAGAGAAAGTGTAGAGTGCAGATTTACTTTCATGCCGAGCTCGAAATTTTGCTCCGACCCGGAATGACATGATGCCCGTGGAGATGAATATGGTGTCGATTGTTCCGGCCGAGGAAAGGAGGGAAGAGAGGGACTCGGCATTGCAGAGATCGGCTTGGATGCATTGTATGTTTTGGGGATGGGGGGAGGAGGGAGCAGAGGGCGTGATGATATCGGTGAGGATGAGTTTGTTTTCTGGGGCGGTGGCATGGTTGGTGAGGAGGTGAGTGGCGAGGAGTTGTCCGATGAAGCCTGAGGCGCCGGTTATGAGGATGGTGGGCATGGTGGTGATGTTATTTAATCTGTTGAAACCAATTCCAAAAAACAAGAATTTTAGTCCTTGCTGTGCACAGAGTTCACAGCTTTATACCTTATAAGTAGGAACTCCTTTTTAGAATCAAGAATCAAAGAAGTCGTCAATTGCAAACCGAGACTCTGATAGATGGAAGAATTGACCCCGAAGCCGAAAGAAAAATGGGGGTTAATAATCGCTCTATATATGATTGATGCTGTACATATGCCGGCTGCAAATCCACGCAACTTGTACAACTTTGCGGGTGAGATCTAGATATCGGTAAGTACGGCACATATATGTAGTATATTTCTAGACGGAAGGTTTTGCGACGGAAGTAAGACCATCTCCAAGTTAGAGATTTTAACCCCGCCTCTACCCCGCGCCGTGGGGGGCAAAATGGTGGGGGTCATAGTTTCCCTGAAATTTCTAAGGGGCATAGCCGACAATGATATGTGTTCGTGTAGGCAGGTATCCTTTATCAAGTAGCAAGCAAATAGAAATACATTTTCATGGAGAGGAGAGAGAGGAATATGATAATTGGGTTAGGCTAAGCTGGGCTTGGTCACCATTCGAATTCTTGCAAATGTATATCAGTCATATTGCATTTCGTGTCGGAAGAGACGATTGACAATTGGACCGTTTAAATTTGCTTATACCATGATATTGATTTATCTATCTTTTCAATTGTCTTTGCATTGGACAATGCAGATGTCCGGTTTTTGCTCCCTCAAATTTAACCAAGCAATATTCTTTCTGGTTCAACATCAACAGAACTTGGTCTGGAAATCATCATTCATCTCTCCTGTCAAAATTTTCCCCTCTCAACTCATGAAACACTCATCTAAGCTCGTGGCTCCTTGATTCTTCTTTTTTCCGTCAAACTTCTTTACAAATGCCTCAATCTCCACCTACATTCTTTCCACAGGACTCAACCCCAAAATGCGCATACCATTGTAAAGTACCACTCTAGCCGCATCATAAAGAGCCATTCTAGCCTTCATGACTTCTCTCTCGCTACCCATAATTCTAAGATGATCATAACTACTACTAAGAACGTGAGTCATCTTGAAGAGATATGTAAGAATGGTCGTTGGTTCTAGAGTCTTGACAGTGTTCTGAACAACATCTGGGTATTGGGAGAGTGTTCTGATGAGGTTTTGAGCGTGGACTTCAGTAAGGAGTGAAAGGTCTGCGGAGGCAATTTCTTCGGGTGTAAGAGCTGCTTTACGGGTGATGGAACAAAGACGAGCATGGGCATATTGAAGGTATGGACCTGTGTCTCCTTCGAAAGATGTCATGGTTTCCATGTTGAAAGTGTATCCGTTGACACTAAGAAGAATTAGTTTGGAACTCCAGATCATAAAAATAGAAGTAAAAAATAATCGATTTACTTACCGTTTACCACTCATGTCCTGTACCATGACAGAGCTGATACCAAGGATATCAGATGTAGCGACTGGATCGGCAATCTGCTCATATTTGGCCTCGTTCTTTTGCATAACCTCGTGCATCTTTTCGGCAACATCTCTCAATATATCATCCAAGAATTTGACAGTACCACGACGAGTACTCATGCCATGAACCAATCCGAAGTTGATGTGTTGACACTTATCTCGGAGTTCCTTGTAGCCCAAAAGTTCAATAATCTTGAACAATTGTTGTAAGTGTAGCTCTTGATCAGTTGCGACAACGTAGATCATTTGATCAAAGTCATACTTTTCTTTTCTTTGTAACAATTCACTAATATCTCTAGTAAGATAAAGTGCTGTGCCATCCCTTCTCTTAACGATTGCTTTTCCAAGACCTTTGCCAACCTTTCCGGCCACGTGCTTGGTGAAATCGACAATCATAGCACCTTGCGACTCTTCGGCAATTTTCATTTCCTCCATTTTCTTTCCAGTCTCCTCCATTACTTCTGCCTTGACTTGAGATTCTCCAGAATAATCATCAAAATGAATGTTCAATCGTGCATAAGTCTCCCTGTATCTCTTGATACTGAGTTCACGGAATCTAGCCCATTGCGCAATTGCTTTTTCATCGTTCTCCGTCATTGCTTTGAAGTATCGACGAGCTTGTTCATCCAAACCTTCATTCTTGATATGCAATGCTTCATCTGTCTTTCCTTCTGCCTCTAATGCTGCCATCTTATCAGCCTCAGCCTTCACATCTGTATTGATCTTGACGTAAATTTGGAAGAGATGGTTGATAGGATCTGCCTTTAAAGCTTCTTCATCTCCATATTTGTCAAATCCCAAAGCCAATAATCCATATTGTTTGCCCCAATCTCCAAGATAGTTGACACGAGTCACATCCCATCCAACTGCTGCGTAAAGATTCGACAAGAAACCTCCAATAATTGTACTTCGAAGATGACCAGCGTGGAAAGGTTTTGCGATATTGGGGGATGAGAATTCGATAACTATTTTCTTTTGTCCTTTTGATGGATCTTCAGGATCGACGAGACCGAGATATTTGTTTTGACCAAAGTTTGTCTTTTGTTGGATGATGGTAGGAATGAGAAGCTCGTTAAGTTTGTCGGCTTTGAAGAAGAATTGGAGATAGACACCATTGGTGGTAGGCTTATGAACGAGAGGTGATTCAGGAAACTATTCAACTCAATTTGTTAGTCATTCTCATGATATATGACTTGATTGCGACGAGTGTACCTTTGCCGCCCATTCTTCTGCGAGCTCGTTGGGCTTTTTGCCCTTGACTCGCAAAGCTGGCACAGGCAACACCAAGTCACCTTTGTCCAAAGTGTTTGTCCACGCTAACGCAGGGTAAATAATGGCGGAATCTACACCAGTAATCTCAGCTAAGTGAGAAGTAATGTGAGCTCTGTAGATGTCGTTGATGTTGACATCAGGGTGACAATTAGGGAATTTGGGTAAGTCCGAGACACTCAAAGACTTGAGTTTTTCCGAAATGAAGTCTGAGGATGAAGTTGTCGTCGCCATCTTGTAAATTGTGGTTGAAAATATGCGAAAAGAATTGAAGCTGTGGGGTTTAAATCGAGGGGTATTTTGGACTGAAGTGGAGATCAATTTCAGACAGTGGAGTGAATTCTTGCGAAGGATAGAAAAGGTGAAGCTCATATGGTTGGAGACAGTATCAACAATACCTTCTCCGCTTTGAGATTATGGTGAAGTGCGACGATGAAGAGAGGATTGAGTAATATTTATGACTCCGATTCTCGTTGGTGACTCAAAAAGTTCCTGGTTAACTGACCAACCCACCCCTCAAAGGATTTTTCTGCTGGTTCAACAGGGCTGCTTCATCTTTTTGGGCTTAGTTGATTTACCGCCTTTGTTAATGCCTTAAATGTAAGGCCAGTAGCTCAAATAATGTTTCTAAATTCATTCTGGAAAATATTTCAAGCCATAAAATCACCACTCGTGTCTCTCAAGCCACTTCGATTGTAATGGTAACGGTCACACCAGATTTTTCCTTGAGATTCCAGTTTGGATAGGGAAAATGGTCAAGATTTGATTAATATCCTTCCGCTTTCGTCTCCGCACGCCTTAAGAAGGCTTGGCTATCACCATCTTCACTCTTCTCTCTCCACACACTTTTCGAGCGTTTGTCTACAAGTACTGAAGAGCTCTCTATCCCAATTCATCCATTTTCAATTTTTTCACTTCTTCTACTTCTTCAGTGAAGAATACACCATTTCAAGAGATCAAATGCAGTAATTCAAATCATGGATTTATTTCAAAGGGATGATAGTTCATTCCTATCATTTTCTAAAAACAATTGATGAAGTCATAACGATAATAAGAAATCCTTCCATTTTCAACGCCATCCATATTCGAACAGTTAATCATATCTGACCCAAAAGGCAAACAACCTCCCCTTTCTCAATACACCATACCGAATCTTGTCCATTCCCAAACAAAAGACCAAGAGATAAGTATGGTATATACTCCTCTAAAAAGGACTGAAGATAATAACACCAAGTAGGAAATCCAAAAGTTATAACAATCAGAACCAGAACCCAAATTCTAAACCCATCAATTATGAATATTAAAAATTTCGCCATTACCCCGCACTTCTATATCACCTCATGTTGTGAGACTCTCCAGCATTTTCGTCTTTGCCGACCTCGTTCAATGAGCTGGAGTTGGAACATCTTGACCGTCGTCTCGTAGCATTCGAATGAAAGCACGTTCTTGAGAATCTAAACACATCTGTTAGCCAATTGTGTCCTCTAAAAAGTGACAGAGGAGTCCTTACTCGGTCGAGAATAGTTTGGGCCGGTCTCTTCCACAGTAATCGAGCGTGTATCGACTTGTTCATCGCAAACGACTGCACCATCTGGGCCCGACTCGGGAGAATAATCCATTCTCATTAAACTGATTCTGAGGCGATAACGACCAGGGGCGTGAATTGCAAGATCTGGGAAGAAAAAGTACGCTTGATCGCGCACACCTCTAGATCTAGTTTGAGCGATAGGATGCGCAGAGTCTGCGGCTTTCCCATCCATTTGTTCATATATAACTTGACCACTGGCGTAATGGATGAGTGAAACACAAGTCCAGTAACCGGCAAGATGTTCATAAAGATCGTGCTCACTACTGAGTTGAACAATTAGAGGAGGGTATAAGATTGATCCTGGGCGAACTCGCGCGGGAGGTTGGACTGCAATAGATAACATGTTGAAGGTAAGGTGCGTATTGGTAGGTGTTGGGTATGAGTGCTGATTAAAGAGGTTTTCAGATGGCAGGAACTGAAAACTAATAGGACAAGGAGTTGTGGATGATCAAATGCGACTTCTTTTCGATGACTTATCGAAGTAGTGATGGCGAGTGGGTGTTTGACTGGATGATAATTGGAAGTTTGTTGTGAATTTCGAAACGAAGACAGTGTGAAGAGAAGACTGATCGAGATGATGATGAGAAATACTTCGAAACATGGATGAAAGGACTCCTTTTATCTTTCTCCATTGCTCACACTCGGAGAAGAAAATATATGAGGCTGAGATACCTCTTGAACATATCATGGATGGGATAGAATCTTCCCTCCCGATAGGTATCTCAAGAATAGTTCATGCCGCCTCAATCGAATAGAGAACTATTCGCTTGTGCCCTTCGACCAGTCAGAGCCAATCTATTTTTTCGATAATATCAGCTCTGACAGCATCGATGAGTGAAATATTACTTGATTTTTCTACGGGTAATTCCTCTGTGTGGCCTTTTTTTACTTTACTTCTTTTCCCCTCAGACTATTGTTCGGGAAATTCCAAGCAAGGGAAGCCGGTCCCACTGAACACACATTATTGTGGGCGTCTTAGATCTACCCAAGATTTGAACGTTGTATAGATCTCATGCAACGAAATGCAAGATTTGGTTTTATGCGGTATTCCCAAGGGAATGGTCCAGGACCCACGGTGGTAAGTCGCAAGCCATGCTTATCTTGGTAAGGTCCACTCGGCCACGCTAAGAGAAAACTACAGGGCCATCGGGACCCGGCAAGTCGTCACCACTGTCACATTCGGCTCGTGTTAGTGACAATTGCTGATTTGATGGCAATGAATTACAAGATACAAAATACCACCCTAGAAAATTATGTACTTGGAGCCAATAAAGAGATGGGAGTAAAGATAGTAAGTTAATTTTTGGAGTACTCAATCGAATCTTAGATTGGATGTTACATCAGAGGGAGCTTTCATCTCCTTTAGAGATTTCTTCCGTCTAAACCCTTGAAAGTATCTATCTACCTTGGAATCATTTTCCTTTGAGGTCAATGGAGCATCTATATCACATCCACTCTATTTGCTTTGTAATTGACTGAACTAATTAACTCGTTCAATCCGATTTTAGTATCAATCCATTATCTCCATTATAGACCTGACCAACTTACACCAAATTTAGGCTCAATTGGGCTACGGTACACTTCATCCAATCTGATTTTAGGATAATCAATTGAAGGAAATGGAAACCCTCTTTTAGTGAAACCTTCATTGACACACGGCAAAAGTGTTATGTTCCCTCATCCCAACAATCTTCCTGTCAGGCAGTGTCAGCTCCTCTGTCAAATCCATTGCCATTTTCAGTATGGCGTGTTAGTGGCGCCCTCTAAAGCCTTTTTCAAGGGTATACGATCGATTTCGATACCCTGTCATAGGTCTCGTGGGAATCTCAGCTATCAAGGGCTAGCAAGGGCTAGCAAGAGCTAGCAAGGGCTATCACAACATCATCTCAATTAAAAATGACCAATTTGTTCCAGTTTCAAATAAATCTTCGTGAGGAGATTGAGAATACTATGGAACCTAACACTTCGAGAATTTTCTTGAAGCTTAAGGATGTATAGTTATTCATCGACGTCTGTAATCTTTCTATTTCGTGACCTACTCGTTGTGATGTGGGGATTGGGGGCTAAAGGGCATCAGAACCTTCATAACCCGTACTCACCAGATATCCTACGTCACACGACAATATTGGAGAGAATTAGCAGCAAGGGTGGAAATGCGTGGATAAGATGTGTTGAAATCATATCTACTTCGGGGAATGAAGTGAAAAGGGATTCACCCGATTTCTGGACCCATCTAGGCGCTGGCTGATTTGGAACAAGGATTCAATTAAGATTCTTCCACTTTAGTGCAGAAACCGCTAGGATATCTCGCATGGTAGAAACATTTTTTTCTTACCTGCATAGATCTGGTTTGAGATCTGGGTATCACGACATATTGCCGCTGAACTAGGGTTTTGGAGCCCCTCAAGTTATTGTTGATAGCTGAACCACCTGGCACTCACTGGGGTTGAACCCCGCACTATCCACTATCGATATGGATAACTGAAATAATGGTATGAAAATCGGTATGTAATATTTTCAAACATAATGACTGAACTGTACATTACTCATTCAATGGAGCGTCATTGATCAAGATAATTTAGGCATTTATTCTTCAAATCCTACTTCAATCAATACCCTTAATACGGAATGGTTGGGATAAGTACAGTTACGGGTTTGGGGGTTAAAATGCTTAGAGGGGTAACAGTCGGCGCAGTCGCAGGTCGTGATTACCTTTCAACCCCATCATGAGTTCTTTCCTCGATGGAATAACCATGATCATCAAATTTCCGATCAACATCGTTATTGAAAACCTCTTTCTTATTATTTCTTGTTTTCTAATCTCCATTGAATCATTTATTTCCCTCGTTCTCTATGGCACCCCTAGACAGCCATATACTACGTATCACGAACCTTACCTCAAAGACTGTTTGACTTCTCTTCCGCGATCTGATCGTAAGACTTTGAACAATACAAACGAGTCATTCTCAATCTTCAGAAAGTTCACGGACCGACAAGACGAACACATAGCTAGGTATTTATCAACATTGGCACCGTCATATATCTTTCCTGCAGCTGCGAGGTTCCGCAGTCATGCCGTAGTATCACAGACATCGTCTGATATCCTTCTCTATAGCATTTTCGAGACTCAAGCATAGTTCAAGCCTCGATTCATGTATACCGTGGGAGAGGATACCATACTCCGAATCATTCTTCCATCTATTATCGCGTGTGTAGCAATTATTTTGGCGTATTCGGCTTTGAACCTTTTCTACAAACATCAATTCGGAAGCCAACGTCGCGATTCATCACCACATACCTTATGAGGCGACAGTAAAAGGATTCACGGTTCTAATCATTCTGCTTGGGGCCACCGGTCTTGTCTCCTCGCAATTCTTTTCTACATGAGCTTCATGAAAATATACAAGCGTCGGATATCGATCGCGGGCGTTATCCGTGAAAATTCTATGGCATGGCGTACCAAGGTGTAAGAATGCTCGCCTCCATGTGTTCCCGTTTTGAACACATTCGGTGGAGCTATTGAGAAACACCTTACCGATTCTTGCCGACAACTTTCTTTCACGGTCCTTTTCTGGATGGCAAACGATATTCCTCATATTGGCCAGTGCAATTGGCTGAAGAATAGCGTGGCTTCTCCGATCTGGTGGCAGATATTTTCAGATCTTTTGCATCACAAACTCGATCTCTCATGGTCAATACGCCGAATGATCGGACACACATCAATTGGCACTCATATTCTGGATGGGCATCATAATGGGACTGTTCAGTAATCAATCAAATTGGCAGGAGCGCATCGCTCTTGTCATGTTAGACTAGAGTATTCTACTGAGGGGTGATACCAAGAATCCTTTGTTATTACGCGGTTTATTGAGATTGCGATCGACCTTTAGATAGCTCACTGCATAAAATACGAAAGTTTTTCTGCGAAATCACCCGAAAAAATCTTTATTACAGGGTTATCACCTTCCTTGTGGTGATTCTTGACCGCTACCCGATGCCTGATTCCACTCAATTCCATGCATACTGACAGAATCGCCAATTTAGGAAGGCCGTTATATGGTCCACAACCTCAGTCTCTCAGATATCGCGATCCTCCTGACACCCAATCTAGATTTAGATTTCCGAATCTCAAGCCGTGTGAAGTACACATCTCATCTTGTCTTTTTCAACCCCCAGAGATCTCTCCACTTAGATTGACGGGGTGCGCTATCGTGAGACAAGTCTCAATTTTCTTCAGATCAACGTTGCATACAAATATCTTCAAGATGTGGAAAAACTCCCACAGAACGGTCAAAGCTGCAGATAATCGTCATGTTCATATGATTACTTCTTGCATATATTTTCCTAGTGTCTTCTATAGAACAAGGCGAACCCCTGAAAAATTTCGACAGCTCGATAAAGTATTAAGGTTAAAAATTTTTTGGCCCGATAGTGAGGTGCTACGAAAACATCGGATAACAAGATCTAGACTGGTGGATCAGCAGACCCTCCGAGGTTCTGGGTCCGGACCACTTTTCCCCGTGAACAGACTCCCGAGTGTCTTGTCCCACGGCAATTGGCTTGTCGCTGGAGTGGTGCTGATGAGGTAGGTAATTATATACGACATTTTCTTGACAAGATGATCATCTTGACATAAGGCGATTAGGGGTATTGTTCTTTTCTTTTGTTTGATCGCGATACGTTGGTGAGATATTGGGTGGTTGAGATTGGCCAGATGTAATGTGTTTTGGTGGTTGAGATCGTACCCCTGATTGTTGATGTAAGAGGCTCTATCTTTTACCTATGAATCGCTGTTGAAGTTTCTTGGATAGAAGGGATTGATTTCTGCTTTTCTTTTTCGAAGTTGGATACAGGAAGGAATAATCCGTTCTCAAAGTAATTTTTTGCTTGCTGGGCGCTGCAAATCAAACCTTGAATATCATGAATTTTAGCTTCCCATCAAAAATTATCTCGGGCCTCTGTTCTCTGTCCAGTGCGTGTATCTCACAGCATGCACTTCAGACTACCAAAGTGGCAATGCCATAAATCTTCTCATTGTGCTTCCATTTACAGCGTTCTGGGTACTTATACCTCTCTGCCCAATACATCCGTTAGTTCTCAGAGTTATCTCTGGCCGACAACGAAGGGCATTGTCAATCAACGAGGCGACTGAATGAACAGTTAGGTAAGAGCGGTCCGTTCGAAACAGCCTGGCTTATACATTACAAACCAAAAGGCAGACAGATACGAGAGAGGAAACAATGGACCAGCACGCAGATAAACAAATGTGTCTGGGACTAAGTCGATAATGGTCATTAAGGGCTATCAGGACATTTGGAGTAACCCCTTATTTTACGGTCAGACAGATGGACAACTTAGACCGACTTGCCTAGCGATGGTATTCTATGGTGGGCACTCCATCGAATTGCTTGATATGGGCTACGATTTGACATTTTTCGTAGGTCCATTCATAGGTGAATTGCCGGTGTTAAGTGTATTGACTCATAACGAGGAACGAAATCTATTAGTGATTCAGATTCCAGACGCGTTCTAAATTGGGAGTGAAAATGGTCCTTTGTGGGAACTTATTTGTGAACAGGGAGAGAATCATCCTGCAGTATCATCATGAGAGATTGACAAGATGTTTTTCATTTTGATTTGAACTCAAGAGATTCATGGATGAGAATATGAAGATATTTGTCAATACACAGAGGTTTGAAAGTGCCAAGTCCCTCATGTTACTGACTATACTCACTATACAGACGATAAATCCCATCTAATCTCTTGCCTACAATTTTATCTTTATATTCTCATCTATATAGCATATAATTGTACCGTCAACACCTATATAACCCATCAAATCTCCCCATCAAAAGTCTCAATTTTCTTAGATCAGAAATCCCACGATGTGAACTGCCATAGATGATCTAACTACACGAACACCAAAGAGTCCTGATCCAAGCAAACCACCCCGCAAAGCCGTAACACAAAGACAACCTCAAAAACAGGGTCCCGATCAGATAACACGGGAAGGGCACAAGTCCCGCAAGGGATTATCCGACGAAGCGATGGGCCGCACCGGCGTTTTGAGGAAGCGCCGTATCATGTGGGCGGATTATTGATGGAGAGTGAGAAAGCTTGTTTGACGGGATGGGATATGTATGTATTACATGAACTGAGGGGCATTAAAGAAGATGAGAAAGGATATGATATGAGTGAGGAAGGGGAACTGAAAAGTAGGATGATGAAAAGAAATTCTTATACGATATTAGTTTTTTGCAAGTACCCGGATGGGATATCGGGTATCATGTAAGAGTTCTGGAACCTACTTACCCCGCCCCTGTGACAAATGTGACAAAATCCCTGCAAAATTCATGTTTTTTTATATAAACCAAAATACTATATAATTAATTCAATTATTGACATTAAATTACAAAAACTTTTAATTAATAATATAAATCATTTTTATATATAAAAATTTCTAATTTATTTTTAAAATATTTTTGTTGAAAAGTTATATAAGCTTTTAATTGAAAAAATTCAGATTTTTAACTTGTAACGCTTTTCCCATACAAAATAAGCGAATTTTTCGAATTTTTTCGAATTTTCAACTTTAATCCTTCAAAATACTATTATAAAAATATTTAAAAATAAACGGTTTATTTTTTTTTGGAATAATTTAAGTAATTAATTAATCTTTCTATAATACTATATTCGATTTTGTCTCATATAATTATAAATAAAATCAGATATAAAAAGCTGAATAATCGTATATTTTAGCTGGAAAAGCGTTACATGGCGGTGAGTAGGTTTCCAGAACTCTTACTATCGGGTAGGTATTCAGGCTATGTATTTCGGGTAACCTTTATATAAGTAGCTACTAGGTACCTACCTATGCATATGAACGAGTACCTAATAAAAGCTTGCAAGTATGCATATCTCTCTGCATGAACCGTCCTAGTCTCCCGCCTATACACCTATCTAACTCCCAATATCACGAAAACAACTCCGTAGAACCTTACACCATAGCCCCCAAATCGTTATCCCCTCGTGATATATGAACACCAATTCCGATTTTCTGGTTAAGGTTTGAATCTAAACCCGACATCCAGATCCATGCTGTGGGGATCTCAAAAAAATTGTGTGTGGTGCGATCAGGAAGATAGTTCCGAAGATTGGACTGATGTCAAGAGTTGTTAGAAAGGGAGGATGGGTGATGTGGTTCTGGATCGGCAGTTCTAGAATGCTGGGATTGGGGAAGCATGTCTGAGATGGGAGGGATGGAAGCTGGCTTGTTTTTAGTGTGTGCGAGATTGATGGATTAGATTAATTGGGACGGGACGGGAGTCCTAGTCCTCTTTGGGGCAGATTCAAGGGTAGAAAGGTTGTGATATTATATTATATATTATTTTCCAGGGGAGAGAAATAGAGGAAGAAGATAAGCCCAATGTCTCGAGGCAGACAGATCCCATTCTTCCGGAATCACATTCAAGCCTCTGATTCCTCGTCGTACAGATAGGCATGCCGGTGGGAAGATGTGCCGATATTATACCCACCTACCTACGCTGAGAGATGTCAAGGTAATTACCGTGAAGCATATACATATATGCATGGTTGATATTCTTCGAGGGACAGCCTACTGTTGTACACGTCTACGTCATGACGTTTTTCACGCCCTTCATATAGGTAGGTTTCACATCCAGGATGTAATTCGGAATGCAAGTAACTTTCTCCACGGGTCAAACATCTTACATGCAATATCTGCAGGAAGAGAAGAGATTCTTCCCCGGTGAGATCGGATCGGAGACAAGTCGACAGGGCTTGGCTTTGATGCATGGCTTTTGTGTCTGCCAACTATGAGGTTCGTCTGTGGAGGAACCAAAGAAGCGGTAAGATTGTGCTAGATGCTAGATCACTGTGTGACATAAGTCCCACGGGAAGAGGGCCTTTCGAGGAACGAGACAGCCGAAGGTCGATCTAGAAGTTATACTCAGTGCGTTGTGTGTTTGTTCACATGTTTTCCTTTTAATCTGCCCTGAATAGAGCGCGCTAGATGATCAGTAAACACTCCAAAAATAAGAAAAGTTTCTTCCTACTTCTACCGCCCGCCGTTACTCCCAGAAAACCTTTTGTTGTATTTCCTTTTCTCCCCCGACATGTATTGGTATATATTTTGTATCTGTATTCCCTCTCAATAGATTCCCGCACGGACAACATATCGAGGTAGAGCGCAGCATATACAGAAGTGCAACGTCCGTACTATTTGGCCGAAAAATACAACTTCGTTAATCTAAATCAATTTGTATAGATCCCCAAATCCTAGATTTTAATAAAATTCCGAGTTTTGGAAAAAGGCGGTCAATGGTGCGATGCTCTGGAGATGTATAAAGTATGAGATCGGTGGCTTGGACGCAATGTATTGGAAGGCTGAACGGTCGCGTGGTACGGCGGGTCGAGATCTGGCATCGGACGCCATGTTATTTTTCGTGCGAGATAGATGCGAGATGGTGGAGGGGGAGATGCAGAGACTTGAGCTTATACGGTGAGACGTTTCACAGCTCAAAGTTTTTTCCTCGGGTGGTTAGGAGATGGAAAGTTGTAAACACGAAAGAAGCGAGATAGTGTTGTGAGGTTGTACTGGGGATTTTGCGTCGAGGCACACTCACCAGTATGGCTTTGACGGAGAGGAAAGGGGCTTTTGTTTCGGTTACTCGTAGTTGGGATTTTTCCGGTCGGAGTGGAGATTTAGTGACAGGTGAAATCGGTGCGAGATGAGATGTACTGAGATCATGAGATGAGATGAGACCGTGTGATTTTGAACGGAGATAGAGATGTAGATTGATGAAGGAAGAAGCCTGAGTTAGATGTGACTTGATGAAGGAAGAAGCCTGAGTTAGAATGTGACTTAGATTGTGATACTGTTGCGGACTCAGCCTTCGGAGACCAAAATGTAGAGCTATGAGAGATTTGAAGAAGTAAAGAGTCGAGACTTGGTTCGTTTGCCATTCAAATAAGCAAGTATCCAAATATCTGTCGTCGCCATTTACTTCGCCGCTTTATTGGCAGATTTCACAACATAACTTGGTGGATGGTAGAGAAACTTGGAAGTCAAAAGCACAAAATGAGGTCTTGACGCAAGTGGCTTGTCGACATGTCGCACAAGCATATATAGGTTTGAAGATGGGATGTGATAAGTCGTATGATATTTGTTTCTCTTATTTCCCACCCGAAGATTGATCCGTTTTAGGTTTCGAAGTATGATAAGATGAAGCTTCGGAATCGGTTGAAAGGAAGAAAAGTCGTTGTCTTTGAGGTGGAAATGAGTGTGCAAGTAGATGTTCCCCGTGTCAGTATCGGTACGTGTATTCTTTCTTCTCGGTTATGGGTTGGTTTTTCAGAGACTAGAGAAGATTTATTCCGTTTCATGTCCCAAAACCGTGCTCCTGACCAGGACGTGACTTCTCGACAGTTGTATGCAGATGACAAATTAGGGGGAACGAACATATGTTGAATCTATCTATCTTTTCGTACACATAGCCGATGGACTTGCGAAAAAAGAACTACTGTTGCGGAGGAACTTGTGGTTCGTCGGTAGCGAAAGAGTATTTTGCGAAAAGTTATCTCAACCGACCATCCTTCATTCAAGTACAACACCGCTCAAAGGGGGCATTCATCAAGCAAATCGATTTAGCAATCATATCCATTATCCTCCGTTTTCGCTAGGGCAAGAATAGCAACATCCAAAGGAAAAGAGCCGCTTTGTAACTCCCTTCTAATCTTGTCAATGAGTGAAGCATTCGAAGTATCATGCAAAAGTTGCAAGATAAATTTCGTAATGTAAGCATTTTGAAAGATTGTCTATCGTTCCCCTTTCCGGAGAAAGAAAATGATAGTGTCCACAAACCGAGAGATAGTTCCGGAAGCATAGATGAATAATAAAATCATGGCTTGTGGATGCTATGATGTCTTTCTACCTTACTAGCTCTGCTTAGTTGGCCAGCGACCCATTTTTTGAGTTTGACTGAGCTGAACTGGATAGAATTTTTCCGTAGGAATTTGTGTCTGTATATCGTCATGCTGTTTTGGGCGTGTATCAATTGTTGATGATTGTTGATACTTCTTATTCCTCAAGGCGCAGCAAGGCTGTTTTGTCGCGAGTTAAAGACGGCGTCAATAATTCCAACATCTTCCGACAGGCGAAGCTCGACGATGGAGAAAATAGACGCTGAATTTGCAGATTACCGCAGGTAACATTGATCCCACGACGGCGTCAAAGGTCACGATACCCACACGAGTATCGATACTTTTTTGAGGGGACAACCAAGATCACTCTTCGCATTGAGGAAGCTTATGCTGAGGGATCATGTGCCTTGATTTTGGCTTTGATTGAGAAATTTGCAATTTCGACCCCGTCCGGGGTACCCGAGAAAAGCAACCAGAATTGATAATTTCTCCATACTCTCTCCACAAACTGAATTTTGCGGAGTTCTGAGATTCTCCTAAGTTAGTAAGAAATGAACTCCAGTCCTACAGTCTCCAGCGAGCGGAGCTGTTCTTATTTGCCAACGCGTAAACATTGATACCTCGGATGACCCCGAGCAAAATCATGCGAAAACCCCATCTTACCAACCACCCTTCTCCACAGCAGCTATCGTCATCCTTGTTGCTTCGTGTTTGCAGATTGAAATGTGATTTGCCTTAGCTGCCCCATGCCGGTAGATTCCAGACTCCTGGATGATGATCAATTCCTCAAAGGAAGCTTAGTCTAATCAAGCTTAAGTTGATCTGACAATTACTGTTGCATCAGGGAGAATTTATCCAGCATTGAAGCCAAATGACATATGATCAAGCAAGTAATTGTAAGAAATTTCGGATTGTACCAAGGAAAAGTATGATTTCGGGTGGAAACCATAAACCCCGTGGGCAAGAGTACCTGGGTATATGCACACCCGCGGGGATTATGACACTAAAATCCACATCGACTAATCACGACCCCCTGAATATATCGGCAACAATAAAACGAAATCTTAAAGCTTGCTCAACAATCTCAAGACTAAACAATGGGGAACCGCTCAACTATTCCAAATAGAGTTGGTCTAAAATCTACTTTTCATTTTCCCCATTCTCTCCATTGTAAATGGTGGAATTACTCTCCCTGAATTCAAGTGACAAAGTGATAACAAAGTATTCGCACGAATGAGCTGCGAATCCAGTTCTCATCCAACAATAATATGTTGCCGCTCACAGATTCCACAATAGCCAACTTGGCAAGTACATAAGATACATCCATACCTCTCCCCAAATGAATCCTTTTCCCTCCTCCCTCATCGGCCTCTCGTCGAACAATAAAATACCAACTTTGTCAAGATTTGCTGCGAACAGCAAAACCGCCAATATGCCGTCCGCTTTCTTCAAAAATTACCGCGTCTATCTTCTGACGGCCGTGGCTTACATGGGATCGTTACTTTTCGGTAATTTTATACCTTCTTTCTGGATAATATCCCTGATAATCCTTTTCCGCGTCGGCTCAACGATTTTAAACTTTTGTGCCATAACCGCCAAGACCAATCAGATGATGGAACATGACTGACATATGATGGCTTATGCAGGTTACGATACCGGTGTCATGGGATCGGTATTGGCTCTCGCAAGTTTCAGAGAAGATTTCGGATTACCGCCTGATTCGAAGGGATTTGGTGGATCCAAAAATGCACAGGTTTCTTCGAATGTTGTCTCTTTGCTTACGGCTGGTTGTTTTTTCGGTTCGATCGCTGCCGCTTTCTGCAATGATCGATTCGGAAGAAAACTCTCTCTCATGGGGTTCAGCTTGGTTTTCCTCATTGGCGCCGCTGTTCAAACTAGCGCTAGCCATAGTATTGGACAAATCTATGCTGGTCGTGTTATTGCTGGTTTGGGAGTTGGTGGATGTCTCCATTACTCCTGTTTTTCGTCGCAGAAAATGCTCCTCCCCGCATTAGAGGACGAATCACGGGAATGTTTCAAGAGTTCTTGGTACTCGGTTCTACCTTTGCTTACTGGTTTGAATTACGGTGTTGCATTACACATCCCTAAATCTACTAAGCAATGGAGAATTCCAGTCGCTATTCAACTCATCCCAGGTGGATTTCTCTTAATCGGTCTATTTTTCTTGAAGGAATCTCCAAGATGGCTTGCTAAGCAAGGTCGATATGAGGAAGCCACTGCTTCCATGGCTTGGACTAGATGCACTACAATTGAAGATGAAGAAATCATGCAAGAAATCGCTGAGATTCGTGCATCCATTGAGGAGGAAATGGCTGCAACTGAAGGACTCACCTGGAAAGAGTGTCTCGCACCAGCCAACAGATTCAGATTCTTTTCAGCTTTCTGTCTAATGTTCTGGCAACAATTCTCCGGAACCAATTCTATTGGATACTACGCACCGCAAATCTTCCAAACCATTGGTATCTCCGCTGCTAATACCGCTTTGTTTGCTACCGGTATCTATGGTACTGTAAAGGTCATCAACACCTGGTATCTTCTTGCTCACTGGTATTGATACGTTGGGTCGTCGCAAGTCTCTCATTTTCGGAGCCGCATGGATGATGGCCATGATGTTCATTCTCTCAGCTGTCCTCGTTACCCACCCACCTGACACCAAATCCACCACTGTCGCACCAGCATCAATCGCCATGGTTGTAATGATCTACCTTTTCGTCATCGGTTATTCCGCATCATGGGGACCTATTCCATGGGTCTACGTATCCGAGATTTTCCCCACTCGTCTCCGTTCTTACGGTGTTGGTCTCGCGGCTACTACTCAATGGTTGTGCAACTTTTCCATTACCGAGATTACACCAATTGCCGTTTCAAACATTGGATGGAGAACATTTTTGATGTTCGGATTCTTCTGTTTTGGAATGTGTGTATGGTCATTCTTCATCATCAAAGAAACCAAGGGCAAGACATTGGAAGAATTAGATATTCTCTTCGGAGCTGTCAACGCCGAGCGAAGAGCTCAGGACGTAGAGGCAGTGCTCCATTCAAAGAAGGATATTGTTCATCATGAGGGTGACGAGTCAGTAGGAAGCAAGGCTGGCACTATTAGAGTTGAGGACAGTCCTGAGAAGACTTCCTAGAAGGGTTAATGATTTGGTTATGTTTATGATAGATGTTATATATTGACTCCGACGTCTGCTTGCTTTATATTTGGCCGCAGTACTGTCGATGGGACTTTGATAAATGAATGAACGGCAATATTAATGATAATATAATATATCTCTTGAAAATACTGAGTGCATCACTTTATCTCTGTGTTGTATTTGAGCAATGCCCTAGGATCAATTCTATCTTAAGTTCTTAACAAGACCACAAAGAAGGGAAATTGAAGTGTTCAAAAATAGCACTTTACTAAGAGCTCACACCCTGCACACATTCACAGATATCGACTCAATATTTTAATGTCCAATTCAATCAGAATCACTATGTTTTAGAACCCAGTGATGGACAGTATTAAGAAGAGGTACTGCTAGAAGACATTGAGCCTGTCAATCATAATATCTAGTGGCAATCATGTACCTACACTTCAAATTCATTCGTTTCCCCATTGAATTTCAGAGGAGCAATAAATGAGAAGCGGGAAAGAGACTATCAAACATCTTGCTTAAAACTCATCACTATTCATGATGCCGTCATGATCGTTCATCGTCATTACTCGCTTTTAACTCCGCATTCTTCAATTTTTTAACGGAGCTCATAATCAAGGATCGGCTCAAGGCGATCCATGAAGAATAAACGCAAGTGGACAAGACAAAATTCACCATACACTAAGCTGTCAAATATCTACCGTCTCTCGAATGTCAAGAGGTGAGGTAAATCTCTTTCAAATTGAGAGCTTTGGTGGCCTAGGCTCGGCATTTTGAGATTCATCCATATTTGAACTACTTCTGTATGTAAATGAGTTTATTTATCGGTTTTGAGACTTGGGACGGAAAAGGATACTTTTTGAGGAATGCGTATTAGTTGCGGTTTCTATTATGTAAAGGAGAATATATAGATGCGTATTTAAGATCTACGAATTGCGTTTTTTGGATTTATCACTATCTTCATCTTTCTCGTATGTAGGGTATTTGATGTAATGATTAGTTCTACCTAGCAAAATCAACTCAAAATAACCTCTCGATTCTTTCTGCAGGCCCAGTCGTCATTCCTGTATATTTGCATTATTTGAATACAGTTGTCTTTTCACAAAATTGAGCTGGCAGGTCCTGTGTTGTACATATGTCGAAGAATCACGAGTTGAATGGAATAACCTCTATTTCGCTACAAGAGTACGAATTATCATTACTGCAGCTATCGCCCTCGATCTTCAACTCCTGTGTTACTTGCAATCTAGCCTCCCTTTCGCTTTCAAATTGAGATATATGTGTTCAGAGACTGACCACAAGAGTAATGACAAAAAACTGAAAGATATATGTACTGCGAGGCTGGGAGTCACTTTATCTATATTTGATATCATTGCACGAAAATGATTGTCATACTGCCATGTTAAATTTGGAAGCGGAATCTAACATGAAGTTCCTTCTCGCTTTGAGCTAGTATCACCATTAGCATTTATTTTCGACATCCATCGCCGTATGAACATTGCTTCATTATAATTCACTTTTGACAATCTAATAATGATTGTGATGAATGAGGCGAGCATTGGTTTCCCATGCATTTTTTCGAATTCCTATGCAAGCTTGTGGTTGACAGCACAGAATGATCAACCCCTTTCTTCACGCACGAACAATATCGTCATATAGACCATCTATAGATAAAAACATTACATGCTCATAAGACCAATACATGTACAAACCTTCCATATTTATTACAAGATTCATATGTTCACCGCCTTGGGCTCTTCCAGATCTAGAAATATACCAACCAACAAGTAAAATTCTCGTATTCTGCCTCGAAGGATTTTAAGCTCACTTGGTACTACGTACAATAATTTTTAACAGTGGAGTCAGCTTATATGTCCAACACTGCGCCATCGCTCTATGAGAGAAGTTTGTTTCATGTTGGACAAGGACAAGTCACCTTTCTTTATTTCAAATATGCTGGTATGTGAGTGAGAAATTGTGTTACATCCACCAACAAACATCCGTTTTCACAATCCCATGATATTAGCGAAGAACTACTTTGGGGGTTATATTATGGGTATTCACTGTGATGTGATTGTTGTTTCGTTGTTATTATTGGTTCATTTCTATTTAAGCATTGGACTGTGGAGGAAATGCTGGTGAAAATCCTCCATAGCATACATGAATTATCAGACCAAAATTCACATATAGCCAAGCATCCTGGCTCTTTGCAAACGCCATCCATCTAGCCAAGATCATAATATATCTCTAAATGATCCTACTGCCACTCTTTAGATTGACAATAGAAGATTCTTTGGTGTAGAAGTGCGATTGAACGAATCAACATCAGGAACAAATTTGTCATACCTTCCATCCCCTCTCTGACATCGGCACTTACCCAAGCCAACCTCGGAGATACCCATATCAAATTTCCTTGAGTTCCCTCCGAGTTAAAACTAACGGATCTGAAATCGCCTCTATGGGGTAATTCGCGTTGTGCAATTGGTCCAGAGGATTTTTTTAGTAATTTGTAGAGAATCAATACCCATATTCACCTACAAGTCGTTGAATCCATCATCCTGTCTGCCATGAAGTATCACGATTCTGATACATCGTGGAGAGATCGCGGCTCATTCACTTGAAGATACCGTATGAAAAACGCCTAATGCCAATCTTCGTTGTGTATTTAAGTCTTCGATCGAACCTCGACCTGAAAAATTTCTCTATCCTTCAACAACCTCAAGCACATTCCTTTTGATAAGTGTCTCTCTTCCTCTTTTGATTTAGATCGGTCTATTTATCTTCGTACATTTTGTACATCACTTTCTTTCATACAAACATACACTCCTTTAGCACAGCAGCGCTTTACTACCATTCAACATGCAGTCTCTAGCAGTTTCGCTCCTCTGCACTCTTTCATGTTTGGCCTCAATTACTAGTGGTTACAAATTGATTCATAATTACGACCATACCAACTGGTTCACTTCCTTCGTCTATGAGAATGTTAGTATTCCTAAGAATATCTTCGATCTGAGAATGGCCACTAACTCACATCTAGCTCCCCGATCCAACCCATGGCAACGTCAACTATGTCTCTCTTGCTGATGCTCAAAAGCTTGGTTTGACCAAGGTCATCGGTAATCAAGTTTACATGGGCGTTGACAATACTACTGTTCTCTCCGACAAAGTCAATGGAAAGCGCAACAGCATCTGGGTTGAATCTGTTCATGAGTTTACTCATGGTATTCTTATTGGTGACTTCGCACACATGCCCGCTAGTGATTGTGGAACCTGGCCTGGTTTGTAAGTGTTAACTCGTCCGCTACTTCCCCATGAGAATTAGCCGCTAACAGATTCGCTAGCTGGACAATCAGAAATGGTGACGGCCCTTACGGTGAAATCGATATCCTTGAAGGATCCAACGACATCACTCAAGCCTTCATTTCTCTCCACACCGAGAACGCCTGCACCTTCAATTCTCCCAAGTCCGCCGAGGTCGGAACTGTCAACAACGGTAATACCGACTGTCAATTGTACAACGGTGCAGGATGTTCTGTTGGATCGACTGCCAACTCCTACGGTACACCTTTCAACAAGAATGGCGGTGGTATTTATGCTATGCAATGGACCTCTACCTTTATCCGAGTCTGGTTCTTTGCACGCAGCAAGATTCCCGCCGATATCACAGCTGGTACTCCAGACCCAACAAAATGGGGAACACCTACTGCAAACTTCGATAGTGCGAATGGTGGTTGTGACATCGATGCTAATTTCCCCGCTCAGACAGTCGTAAGTTGTATTCTTTTATTTCTCCTTTTCATCGCCCACTAGCTCACACCTCATCATACCCAATGATAACGCTCCCTATTTATCTGTGTTCCCATCAAACTAACTCTCACCCTAGTACTTCGACACCACATTCTGCGGCGCAGGAGCCGGTGGCCAAGCCTGGTCCGACTGGTCCGACTGTCCCGCAAAGACCGGCTACTCCACCTGTCAAGAATACGTCGCCAAGGTTCCCCACGCCTTCGACGACGCATACTGGCTTGTCAACTCTGTCAAGATCTACCAATAGACTTGACCATTCGTTCTTCTCTTCTTCCTCTTTGCTTGCCTACCTAGGCACTTGCATTCGTCTTCGTCTTCGTCCTATAGATCGCGCGACCCTCCAACTTTAGGATTTTTATCATACCGGTACTGGTTATGGGTATGATTTGTATAAACAGGATAAAATCGTTGCAATGTATAAAAGCAAGATGGGAGTCGAGGGTTTCTTTTATTCAATCAAAAGCTGTGATTTTCAATGCCTCGTATTGCACGGATTTCGGATAGGTTTTATGGTGTTGTTATGTTCATAAGGGAGGGCGGTCTGGTTTCTACTTCTGTAGCTTCTAAGATGTGTTCTCTTTGATTGCATCGTGGAGGTTGGTTGATAGTCAATTGTATTCTGCTTCCCGCATTTTATACTGCCAAAATTTGATTGTAATACCACGCGATGTGATGGTGCGATTTTTTGGATTCTAATTAGGCCAATGTCGAAATTTCAGTAAGATCATGTAGCTTCAACGGATTATCACAAGATTGCAAAGAGCTCAGGGTTCGGATACCCGTAGATATTTTTTGACTACTTCCCTCGCACTTGCTAAAGAAAGAAGTTAACATGTGCACTTGCTGTACAAAGAAAACATTTTTTGCATCCATTCATTAACTAACCTACCAAATATTTGAATGTTCTATTGGTCGTCCTCTACTTTTACATTATGCTTTTCCGGTCGATCCAATTATATCCATTTGATGTTCAATCAATTCCTGGATCAGTCTAGTTCCCGTCTCCATAAGTTCCGTTAAAGGAAGTCTCCCTGTATTGTCCGCTACATATTTATTATACGTATTCAAAACCAAATCATTTAAATTGCACCTTGTCATACCCCCCTTGATACAGCTTCTCATTGTATCATCCGGGAATGTATTCGTGCCGTGAAGGACTAACCTTACTCGACCATTTGAAGCTTTTC